ACAGGTTTACAGTCAGATTTGGCTCTGATTTCAGGGCCAAAGTGTGTTTCTTTCACTGGTCCTTTTTAGCCTTTTGGCTCTAATTTTAGGGCCAGGGTTTATTTCTTTCACTGGCTCTGATTCCAGGGACAAAGTGTGTTTCTTTGTCATTGGTTTCAGAGTCAATGTGCATTTCTTTGGTTCTGCTTGCAGAGCCAAAGTGTGTTTCTTTAGCTCTGTTCAGGGTGTGTTTCTTTAGTTGGCCCATTCCCCTTACAATATTAGTTACTTTTCTAATAACTGTGACAAAATACCTGGCAAATCAACTTAAGCAAAGGTTGAGTTTTGAAGATATGACAGAAGATTCATTGGACTGGCTCAAATACAGATTAATATTTTCTTTTCCTTGAGAAGTCACTTACACATGATTCAGATGTCCCTGCAAGTCCCTGTTCCAGGGTTCCACACTGATTACCCTCTGACCAGCTAGGGAGCGAGCGAGAGAGAGAGAGAGAGAGAGAGAGAGAGAGAGAGAGAGAGAGAGAGAGAGAGAGAGAGAGAGAGAGCTGGGGCTCAGTACCCCAGGCATCAGCTCCTGTGCCCATGCCCCAATGGGCATGGCCAGTGCAACAGGTGCAGGCGGGGTGGATATCTCACTACAGAGTTTGGTTCCCAGTTTTAAGGTTACAGTCTATCATGGTGGTGAAAGCATGACATTGAGAGCTTGAAACGGCCGGTTACATTGCATCCATAGTTCTGAAGCAGAGAGATAAATGCTAGGGCTCAGCTACTTTTTTTGTTCATCACCTCATTTCATTAATAGTGCCATCTATATTAAGAGTGGGGTTTTTTGATAGGTGGTGGTAGTTCATGCCTTTAATTCAAGCACTTGGGAGGCAGAGGCAGGTGAATCTTTGAGTTTGAGGCCAGCCTAGTCTCAGAGTGAGTTCTAGGACAGCCAGGGCTACACAAAGAAAGCCCTGTCTTAGAAAAAAATTAAAAATTTGGTTTTGCCCCTTTCAGTTAAATTTTTTTTTGAAAAACCCTCATAGTCATACCCATAAGTGTGCTTCCATGTTGATTCTAAATCTAATTGAGTTGACAATAAATATTAATAATCACAGACTTCCACATTTTTCATAGTCCAATTATAGGGACCCCTCATAGTTAAGTAGTTTTTGCAGAAAACACATGTATTCATTCATGGGCAGAGGTTCCTGTATACTGAAGGCCCCTGAAGCAAAGCTCATCACTTTTCATACTACTTAGAGAATCCCAGAGTAAAGGCTCCCTGAAGGTCAAAATAACTTCCTGTAGCAAGAGAACTACAATGATCAGGTTGTTTATGTCCAAGTCCTTGCTCAGTCTCACTGATTAGAAAACTTTTACATTACTCCCTGGGGAGTGGGATGAGTGCAAGGAAAAATAATAGACAGTTTTGCCAGTCTTCCATTACTGAAAATGACTCCTTAATGAAAGGTAGAAATGTCCATGGGAGAAGAAAATGTTTCTGTCTATCAATCATAAGATATCATTCTTTACTGTGACTTCTACCATGTAATCTGGTATCCACCCTTTTGCCTTTACTCTTGTTGGACTAACGGCATCCATGGCACATGCATAATGTTCTAGGGAGCAAGTAGCATGTGTTGATTGTTCCAGAATGTTAGACCAAATCTCTCTCAGTTACCCTCACTTGTTATGACAAACATGCAGTACTTTATAGTTCTGAGCAATGTGTACCTCAGAAGGCCATTGTCACCTTGAGAAAGCAGACAGAGGCTTTCCAAGGTGGAGGACAAATGAGGATCTGCTATTGCGGTAAATAAGGATCAGGATAAACAAATAGGCCGAATAGATGTTTATTCAGGGAGAAATAACTTACAACCTAGACAGATGAACACCAGGAAATTCAACCCGATCCTCTCCTGTCCGAGTCACGCCAGCAAGAGAGAGCGCCTTCCTGGCCCCCTCCTACCTCCTTCCTCAGGTCCTCTCCGCCCATCGCTCCACCCCCCAATGGGCATGGTCAGTGCTACAGAAGGACTACCTCACTACAATCTGCCTGTTTAATAATGTACTTACAGTCCTTAGTGACAGCACAGGAAAACATGTCGTTAAGACTTTCTGCTATGTTTGTATACAGTCTTTGAACTAAACCATATGTTTTTCAGCTTCTAGAAAAACAGTGCACAGTAGGAACACTGTTAACATGAGAGAACAATAAAGCATGTTTTCCCATTACAGTTTGTCTTAGGCTATGAAAAAAGCCATGAACAAAACAACTTTAGTAGGAAAGGGTTTATTTTGATTATACTTACACTTCACAGTCCTTCACTGTCACATCTACCTTGACCAGCGAGGAAAACGCAACACTCAGACTCTTCTTTAAGCAGTTTATTCAGGAACCTTGTATAGTCTTCTCACCCCGGGGCAGCTCAGCCCACAGCTTAAAAGCCCTTGGGCAGTCAACCCCAGAATGCCATGCTTTGAAAAACAAAAAAAGACAGGTCCATATACATGGAAGCAAGCCAGATTCTCAGCCTTAGCCAAATATGGAATTGTTTAATACAGAGAGCACTCACCATCAGGAAGGTGGAAGGTGGAAGCCAGCGCCATCTTTAAGGCGCTGCACTTCGCAGCTCTCTACACATCACTGAGAGAAGTTGGGACAGGAACCTGGAGACAGGGACTGATACAGAAGCCTTGGAGGGATGCTGGTTCCTCGTTCCCCTGGCTTGGTCAGCCTACTTTCTGTCCTCCCTCCCTCCCTCCCTCCCTCCCTCCCTTCCTCCCTTCCTCCCTTCCTCCCTCCCTACTTCTTTCCATCCTTTCTTGGTTTTTTTTGAGACAGGGTTTATCTGTGTAGCTCTGGCTGTCCTGGAATTCACTCTGTGTTGCTCTGGCTATCCTGGAATTCACTCTGTAGACCAGGCCAGCCTCTCCTAAATGACCCTATCTTGTGTCAGGTTGACATAAAACGAGCCAGCACACGTTTATCATCCCTGTTTTGGTTCTTATCATTGTTTATTTTTGAGGCAGCATCAATTCAAAAATTTTCCTGCCTCATCCTCCTAAATATTGGAATTACCAGAACATATTACCACATTTTATCCTGGTTCATTCTTAGATTTTTATTTTGTTATCCATTTAAACATCACCAATATCCAACAGCCATTCAGTGTTTACTTTTTTATAAGTCTAAAGAGAACAAACTAGTATCTCAGTGAGATCTCTCAGTGGGTAAAGGTGATGTCCACCGAAACTGAAAACCTGAGTTTGATCTCTGGAACCCACAGTTTGGAAGAAGAGAACTGACTGACTCTTTCGAGAAGTTCACACACACACATACACACACACATACACACACACACAGAGAGAGAGAGAGAGAGACAGACAGACAGACAGACAAAGAGAGAGAGAGAGAGAGAGAGAGAGAGAGAGAGAGAGAGAGAATTTTAAAAAGCATCTAGGATTAATCCAAGCATAGTGGAGCATGCCTTAATTCCAGTACTTGGGAAGTAGAGGTGGAAGAAAGAGAGTTCAAGGTCATCCTTAGCTACACAGTGAATTTGAAGCCAGCTGAGACCACATGAGACCATCCCTCAAAACAATGGAACAAAAAAGAGCAGGGAACATGAAAGAGTTGTGCTTACTTAAATAAACCATACACAAATGGACAAATATATGATTCCACTCATGAGTAAGATGCCTGAAATAAGCAAGTTCACAGAAACAAAAAATAGAATAGAATAGTGGTTATCAGGGACTGAGAAAATGAGTGATTGTTTAATGGAAATGGATGGTAGTAATTGTTAAATAATAGTATGGATGTACCCATTGTTATACAGCTGTACCTTTAAAGACGGTTATGGTGGGCTGGGTGTTGACTCACAGTTGTAATCCTAGCATGTGGGAAGCTAAGGCAGGAAGATCTGAAGTTCAAGGCCAGTGTGCAATACATAATAAGTTTAGGGCCAGCCTGGGCTACGTGCTACCTTTTGTAATGTCATGTTATATGTCTTTTCACAGTTCTAATACATGGAACCCTCTCTACAACTTCTGTTCCAAAATGCTTGTTCTAACTGTATAGAAGTTAATTAAATTATATAGTCTTTCTGCCTAGTAAGTTTTGGTATGTGTTTTTTCTGATAAGTAAAAAAAAAAAAATGAAACCTACTTGTCTATTGCCATATGTTGAAACCAAATCCAACTCTAATGTTTACCTAAAAAGAGGCTATAGGGAAATGCCTAATAATCTATCTTACATTCTTTTGTATTTTAGTAACAAAATACTTGAAGCTTAGTGTTTCATAAAGGAATTTGTTTTGGATCATAATTTTTGGAGACATAGTAGTTGAAGAACATAGTACCTGAATTTGTTTGGCTTCTGATGAGGTACTCATGCTGCATGGTAGAAAAGAAGAAAAGTGGGCATATATGAAAAGGCTTATCTGTGTGAGGCAGGAAAGGCTGGTCTACAGTCTAACCTATCCTTATAGTAAATAATCCAGTCCCAGAAAGTGGGACTGGAGGCCTATGGGGTAATTCATTGCATAAAAGCATTGACAACACAAGTCTGGAAATTGAAGTTTGATGCCAAGAGCCCACATAATGAATGAAGGAGAGAACTGACTCCACAAAATTCTCCTCTGACATCATATGTGTACTATGGCATGGATGGGCACACACATGCATGCACACACTCACACACACACACACACAAATCTTTACTTGTCTAATCATATACAAACCATGTTACCATTCTAAACATTGTCACAAATATAAATGAGTGTAGGAAATGTTATTACCAGCTAAATTTCTTACAATATATATCTTTCTTCCAGGGCCATCTAACAGATACCATGTATTTTGGGGGAGATGGCTTTGAGGAGGGTATACTAAGCCCTTTATTTGTTTCTGTGGAAGGATGAAGTTATTTAGTTTCTTGGAACAAAATTTCTTACGAAGAGTTTTATGATCATGTTCATTATCTTTTATACCTTATGTTGCTTTTCCAGGACAACTTCAAAAGCATATCCACAGTCTCCAAAGACAGTGAAGCCCCTGTATATAGGGTCTCCTGTGAAGTATCATTTTCCTCCCATTCCCAGTGAAGAAACACTCAAGAAAAAGGCAGAGAAGAAGAGCAATAAGGAAAAGGAAGGTGTCACTGGTCAGCAGACCACTGGCCTACCCAGAGAAGAAACCCTAGAGAAGCACATGATTGACAAGTATGCCACTGAGAAGCATGTGGTTGATAAACATGCCACTGAGAAGTATGTATCTGATAAGCATGCTACTGAGAAGCATTCTACCACAGGAGGGAAGGCTGAACACAGTGCAGGTAAGCCTTCTCTGTTGATGCTGCCATTTATCCTTGGCCTTCTCCTTATAGTTCTTCCTCTTTCCTGATATATATGTCATTCTCTCATGTTTTGTGGGAGAGGGAGTTTCCCCCTAGGACAACTTTATCCTCTGGTTTGCTCATCGTCTTTTAATACTCCTTTATTTCTGAGGAGACTTAGGCCTTGAGTCTGCTTATGACTGGAACCTCATAGGAGTGCAAAATGTGCCACATACAGCTTGTATGTATACTTCTGCACAACAGAGCACTAGTTTTAGTCCTCAAAGTCTCTGAGTTGTAGTGTTGTGGAACTTACTTGTAGCTCTAGTCTCAACAGTTTTCTGCCCCTACTTAGGCATAAACACACCCAGGGTCACAGGTAGTCCATTGTAGCTTTTTCTGCTTAGTGACTAATTATAACACTGTTTTGCACTTAGTTAAGTAGTTTTGTTTCCACTTCTGTATGAGTAGAATAATTGTGTTCATTTCCCAATTTTTTTGTTTTTCTACTACTTGTCTGTCTGCCTCAGGAAAACCCACAGCAGGTACCACTGATGCAGGGGAGGCTGCAAAGATCCTAGCTGAAAAGAGACGCCAGGCTCGGTTACAGAAGGAACAAGAGGAACATAAACGATTGGAGAAGGAAGAACAGGAGAGGTATACAGGAACAGAGATTTGTTTGATCCAGTGTAAAGGTGGGGTTGGAAAGATTGGCTTGCATTTTTTTACCTCTCTCTCTCTCTCTCTCTCTCTCTCTCTCTCTCTCTCTCTCTGTGTGTGTGTGTGTGTGTGTGTGTGTGTGTGTGTTGCCAAAACCTAGATAGAAGTATAGGAATCTAGGTTTTATGGACTTCACAGAACTCTGCTCTTTTCTGAGGACCTAAAAACTCACATTTTCATAATCTGTTACAGGTACCTTCCTTTCCTTTCTTGGATAAGGAGACAACTATATAGGGAACTTGAGTGGAGCTATGAGAGTTTGAATTTGATGATAGATTGAGTGTCCCTGGAAAGACAGAAGATTCTGGATATAGAGATCTTGACTGTGATTCCTAGATGATCCTAATTCATGCTGTAAAGTCAGGGAGGGAAGAGAGTTTGTCAGAGTCCCATAGATAAGAAGCTAGAGAGAAGACCCAACCCCCTAGCTCATGAGAATAAGGCATGTGGAAACTCGTTCTTGGAGCAAGACAAAGACTATCATTGTAGTGGTTTCTAAATGTCAGAGAGTGTCTAACAGAAGTGTTTAGAGAACATAGAGAAAATGTACTGGCTCTAATCTCATTCTACTTTAGCAATTCATCAATGTTTGAAAGCCACTGTGGCAATAGTACCAGAACTCTTTGATGTGATACAGGCAGTTCTGCATCTTCTAAACTTTGTGTTCAGAAAAAAAAACAAGCACATGGTTAAAGGACAAGGTCAATTTTATTACTACAAGGAGAAAAGATGTTCTTGGGATAATCACAGAGTACTATGTGGAGCCATTTAAGGAATGAGACAGGAGGCAAGCAGTGCTGTAGCACTTGAATGCCAGCACAAAATTTAAGATAACAAATAAGATAGTCTTTAGTAATCTTGTAAAATCTTTGTAGTTTCTTTTCTCCTTTCATTTTCTTTCAAGACAGGTTTTCTCTATATGTCCTGGTGGCCTTGAACTCAGAGATCCACTTGCCTCTCTCTACCTCTGCCTCCCGAGTACTGTGATTAAAGGTGTGTGCCACCATTACCTGGAGTGTAGTTTTTCAGTTGGGGGAATAGGTCCCTTCAAATTCTAAACCTCCCTGATTATTTTCTTACTTCGGCTTTTCGATCAATATCTACATGTTTTGTTATTGTTGCATGTTGTATTCAGGCTTGTTTGGGTGGGCTGAAAGTTATGTGAAGGGAAAATAATGGGTAATATAATCGTGGGATTTCAAATGATAGGCTTGGTAAAAGTAGTACACTTGGTAAAGGTAGCCACAGAAATATAGCACTCCCTGAGCAGGTGAGTGATATGATTGTTCCTGTGTACCTAAAAAATGAAAGTTGTTTACCTTCCAGCTACTTTGTTCTTTCCCATTTCCTTCACAGTCCAGCTGCAGAAATAATTGATTGCCTTACTGTCTTTATTTTCCCAGCTCACATTGTTCACATTTCCACATACTCTCCATCCTTTCTTTACCAGATTCTTAATTTGATGCTCGGTTTCCTTTGGCCCTGTGGAAGTTGTCCTTGCTTTTCTTGTCTCTCCTGCATCTTACCTGTTAAATCCCCTTAAATATTCCTTGAACTCCAAGCCCTTAGTCCTTGATCAGCTTTTTGTTTGGCAAGTCCTCCCTGAACACAGTGTTGCTGGCTATTGTCCCTGTTATACTTCCAGTTTCCTCTGGCTTCAAAATATTTATGCATGACAATTCATACAGCAATGTGTTAAGTGAACTTGTTCTTATCTCTCTGGCTTCACTGTCCATTTATCTTGTGTTTATCACCTATTTTTGAAGCTAAGTCTACCTTCGTTTGTAAACCTTCTATACTTTCCGAAATATACTGAAGACTCCTGAATCTGTGCCTATGCCCTGAATTTAATCTAATGCTGCATTGTCTTACATTGTCGTGCCTACATATTTGTAACTGTAGATTGAGGAAAATTAATTTCCTTAGCCTTATTAGACACATATCATTGTTTATAGCCGAACATTGCTAGTAGTTACCAGAATAAGCAACACAATTCTATAAATCATTTCCTTATCTAAGAAAGTTCGGTTAGCTAGCATTTTTCTATAAGGCAAACCTATATTTTCAATTATATATTTTTAGTGTGTCCCATATTTACCTCAAATTCAGCATCTTGAAGATAAAATTTAGTATACATCACTCAGACTTCTTGTTCATTTCATATACTCCATACTATCCCAAAGTTAAACATCTCAGAGCTGCTTTCAACATTTCCATTGTCCTTCACATTACACCAGTTGTTAGGTAAGTCTTCATTGGCTCTCATATTAGCATTTTTATTCTCCCCATGCTCTGCCAGCACGAGATAAGTGAGCTAGACTGTGTCTGTAGAATCTTAATGGCGTGTTCCAGATCTGCCAGAGCTTGCCCACTGCTTATGCTGTTTTTCAGAGTGACTTCACTTAAATAAATGTGTTTGTCCTTGCTAATGAGTCTTGATTACAGGATTTACCCAAACCTACGAACAATTCCAACAAGTCTTCCATGGACTCCTTGCTCCTCTGTCTCCTCCCTCCCTCCCTCCAACCCTCTCTCCCTCCCTTCTCCCCCACCTTCTCTCTCAGCTAGCCTGCATCCCTCTGCATGTACTCTAGTATGCAGATCCACACCAAAAATGCCTTGCTTGTGCTATGCCTCCACCTGATGCATCTTTCTTTCTCAAATTGCAGGCCAACTCACTTCTGTGGCCTTTCTGGACCTGTACTGGTGAGGGAGCTGGTCTCCTCCTCCCTCTTTGAGCTTAGCTTCCAGCTGACTAATGTAGCTTCATTTGTCCACAGACTGTCTCCCTTTTCCAGTTAATGCTTTAAGAGTTCAGAGAACAGTCCTAGATCACTGTTGCTTGGTGCTCAGTGAAGAGGAAGAAGCTCAACTAAAAGACCATCAGTGACAGCAGTGGGTTAAGTGGACTCAAGGGCTAACATTACATGGTGAAGGCAAAAGAAAAGAGGGTACACAGACTTATACAAGTAAAAGGAAAGGGACCGATTTGGAGGGAAATCTTAAGGTTTGGTTTGAAGTATTTAAGAGGATGGCATACCCAATAAGAGAGCATAGAAAAATCAGTTTGGAAAGCTAAAAATTAACCATGTGATTTTAGTTGGCTGCAGAACATACAGATAGTTGGAAATAAAACAGAAGCCTGTGGCCTAGGTGAAACTGAAATAAATACACTTAACTCCAAATCAGTTTTCCTCTCTCTTGCCAGAATGTGAAGCTTTGATAGTGCCACGTGAGAGGTGAGAAAGGAAAGTACCAGACAGCCTGGGGCTGGAACACAGCGGACATCTCTTGGAATAGGATCACCCTCACATATGTTTTGTTTAGTTTCAATAGTTAAAAGTTACAAAATTGTGATTATCAGCTGAGAGAATGTAGCAAAAATAAAGATATTTGTGCTAAAATCTGGCAAGCCCAGTTATTGTTACTAGCTATTGAGGTAAACACTTTCCAAATTATGTATTTGGGAGACCCCCTTTAAAGAAAGGCTGGCTAGGTATTTTGGCAACTAGGACCTAAGAGAGTAAAAAGCTGGTCCAGTTCCAGATGGCTGTGATATCAGAGCTCTCAGAAACCCATATAACTGTCCCAGCCTCTGGCCTTGGGGATGGCCCAAGATATACAATGAGATTCTTAGAATTGGGGCAAGCAACCTGATCCAGTCTGGAGAAGATATTTACAGAGACTAAACAGGAGACCTTCTTGGGATTAAAATTATATTACATGTAGAAGCTGAAATGGTTGGTAAGGGCCCATATCAAAGAATATTTGAGTAATGAGCAGAAGATATATCCAACCTGAAGTCATTGTCCATTTACAAGCACAGGCCTGAAACCACAGGCAGAGGTTTGCAGTGCTATTCATACCTGGCTTCTGGCTGGCTAAGTCTCTAGGGGACAGGTGGTTTGGGTGCAAGCTAGGGCAGACACTAGCCTTCCAATATGGAACAGCAAGGTAAGGTAGAGGTAGGAGAGAGACAGGAAAGTACCACCTCAAGTGTCCAGGGGCTGTAAGAGGGCCTCATGGAAATAAAATTTGGTGTTGTCAGGATATTACAAAACATTGAGGTTTAGGAAAGACTATTTGACTTGGGGTTTAAACAATAAACAGATTTTTGGAGATAAATTATTGAGAAAATGGGCATAAAGACATGAAGCATCCTAAAAGTGGTAAGAGGGTAGTTGTAAGCAGAAGGCAGGTGGGAGAGAATTTAAGAGAGTGGATTGAGATGCCTGAGATCTGAGTATTTTTGCAGCCCATGCAAAGTTGTATATAGAAGGGAAAAACTGGCATATGAAGGAATGGGAAGCAGCAAAAGAAGTAAGAGCAATGGGGAGGGGTTAGAATTAATTGCACAAGTGATAGTAGTAGTATTTACAATCTTACATTTAGTCAGAACAAACAGGAAACATTCTCACGAAACAGTGATTGAATGTGTGAAGTTAAGAAACAAGATGAAGTGGCTCCGTTTTTCTCTGTAAAGTAGTGGTAATACTGTCAATTAGAATGGTTGACAAAAAGTGATTTTCATACAGAATGTAAAGGATGAGACTAAAAACATCAGTTGAGACTAAGGAGCACAAGGTCAATCAATCAGTGTGTTTGTGCCTTTTCTCTAGTCAGTCTGGGAAGCCAGGGAAAGGCATGAGTGATAAGGATCACCTAGGTTAGGAATCAGAAAACACAGTGGCATCTGCATCATCACAGGAATGTTCAGGTAGGAACCAGAGGCATCAGGGGTGATCCTGAGGGAAAGAGGAGGGTAGAATTTGTTTGTACCATGCTCACCAGGGAAGGTCCCCAAAGAGGCAGAAATAAGAGATAAAATCAGATCGAAAATTGATGATAAAGATAAAGCTTTTTAAATGAAAATTAAAAACACATAGGAATCATGAACAATGAAGCCCATATATTCATCCACAAGACTAAACAGTTCAAGACCCAGCACATCACTGGTGTGGGCAAACTATGAAAAAGGGAATTAAGAGAGAGTGTGAAGTGTTAGAGATTGAGAGATGGGAGCCATTATATGAAGATTCTCACCCAGTTGCACTGACCAAGTCAAAGGATATCCATTAACAATAACATTTTCTGTTTAGTAAGGAAGGAGGACTGGGCTTGATAACAAGTATCAAGAGGATGACAGAACTGCTCACAGGTTTGGTGAACTCTAGAAGATTAGTAAAAGACTTTTTTAACTATACAAAGAGAAACTAGCATGTAGAGGTAGCTGAGTGACACTGACAAATGTGGTCTATGGTAGAGGGCTGGTGGGAAAGGATGAACTTGTTCTTAAAGGGAGAAGGTTCATACTTGAAAATTATGAAATACTTATTTTCACATGGGAAGCCAGGTTTTTTGTGCTAGCTTTTAACTACTTTCAAAGAAGTGAAGTGGATTTAAGAGGGAATCTTTTCAGTAAGAAGATGGAATTTCCATGGATGCACTGAGGAAAGGATAAGCAGAGGCTGGTAGGTATGTGGGAAGGAATTTATGTTTTTAGTGATAATGAAGTTTAAGGAGATTTAGGATCATAAGGATGTAACTGTAATACTCTCAGTCTCTCACTCGCTTGCTCTTGCTTGCTCCCCCTCCCCATCTCTCTCTCTCTCTCTCTCTCTCTCTCTCTCTCTCTCTCTCTCTCGTGTGTATGTGTGTGCATATGTGGTGTGTGTGTGTGTTAGAGAGAGAGAGAGAGAGAGAGAGAGAGAGAGAGAGAGAGAGAGAGAGAGAGAGAGAGAGAGAGAGAGAGAGAGAGAGAGATTGAGTTTTACCTGCTATGGTTAGCACATGGTCTGTTGGTGTTTTGCCTTTGGAGTGTGTCATCCCCTAACAGTATTTTTGTTCTCAAAAGGCTGGAAAAAGAGGAATTGAAAAGAAAGGCAGAAGAGGAAAGGCTGCGCCTAGAGGAAGCCCGTAAGCAAGAAGAGGAAAAGAAGCAACAGGAAGAAGAGAAAAGAAAAGCAGAAGAGGAGGCAAAACAGAAGGCTGAGGAGGAACTATTGTTATTGTCAAAAGAGAAGCAAGAAAAGGAGAAACAAGAAAAAGGCATGATCAAAAATCAGGTACAGTATGAGGTCTCAGACTTTTTCTTGTTTTTCAATGGCCTTAGTTAATATTGGACAAAATTTGTTCAATTTGAATGACATATAAGTAACTTGAAGCTTTTTTCTAAACACCCTGTTCTGGTTATTAAATATAACTTATGTGGAATAAAATGAAGTTATTAATGTGTGTCATGTGAACTTGGATTTGTCTACATTGGAACTAGAATTTGGGTGCCACTGATATATTTGGGAGAAAAATCCCATGAAACTAGTATGGCAGTAAAATCATTATAAGTACATTGATGAAAATGTCTCAGTGCCTTTTTGACCTCTGAGGCTAAAGTTCATGACTTGGAATTTTCTCCCTGAGGAGTGAGGAAACTGGACAATTCACTTACTAACACTACCCCTTATTGTGGAATACGGTTCCTTGGGGGAATTAACTTCTGGAAGTGTCTGCCTATGTGAACATTTCCTGGCTTGCTCAGAAACACAAGGAGCTTCATCATGTGTAAGAGCAATCTCTTTATTTGTTTCTTTCAGAAAGAAGCAACAGAAGCAAAGGCACAGGAGGCAGCTAAACAGATGCGTTTAGAAAGAGAACAAATCATGCTGCAAATTGAACAAGAACGACTGGAGAGGAAGAAGGTAAGAGCTGAAACATCAGGAGGGTGTAAGGAACAGGAAGTGAATTGGTTACTGAGAAAGTAGCTATTATAAAGCTTCATTAGTGGGCTGGGGAAATAGCCCAATGGTAAGAATGCTTATTTATCACATATCATCACTGAACACAATCGAGTTCTTTTTGTAATTTTGAATTTTTCCATCTTGCTTTTTCATTTCTGTCAGTTTTGTTGTTGTGGTGGTTGTGGTTTTTTGTTGTTTTGTTTTGTTTTTGTTTTTCAAGACGGGGTTTCTCTGTATTGTTTTGGAGCCTGTCCTGGAACTCACTCTGTAGACCAGGCTGGCCTCGAACTCTCATTGATCCACCTGCCTGTGCCTCTCAAGTGCTGGGATTAAAGGTGTTAAAGGTGTGTGCCACCAACACCTGGCCATTTCTGTCAGTTTTGTTACACACACACACACACACACACACACACACACACACACACAATGTTAAAGCTGTATGTTACTTGAATATACATATCATTTTCTTTTTGAATCGACAGTTTGATCATGAAATTCCTTTTTTAGTTCTTTTTTGTTTGTTTATTTGCTTTGGAGATGATGTTTTTCTTTGTATCACTGGATATCCTGGAACTGGCTCTAGAGATCAGGCTGGCCTCAAACTCAGAAATCTGCTTGTCTCTGACTCCTGAGTGTTGAGACTAAAGGCATGTGCCAACATGCCCAGTGTCAGTTCTAATAATAGTCCTTAATGTTTCCTTTGGCAGCCTTTTTATGATTAATGTCTTGATGGTAAATATTTTTCCATATTTTTCATTGAACCTGTGAGTTTTTATGACTGTACTTTGTAAACAATATATAGTCAGGACTTGCTATGTGAATCTAACTGTGTTTGCCTTTCAGTTAAACCATTTATTTACTTACATATCAAGTTGAGTTTAAGGAGACTAACTATGAAGACCTGTTTTTGTGGTGTCCTAGGCAAAATGTGGGCTTTGTATGGCTGTAGGTCTAGAAGCTAAGAGATCTGTGACACTTCCTGAGCTACTACTATTCAACGTAGCTTTCTGTAGCAGTCCTCTTGAGTGCCAAATGGTAATTTGTTGCTTTAAGGAGATGGAGAAGAAAGTTGGAATACGAAACTGTATGTTAACTCTTGATCTGTATTAGTGTACTCCTTTGACCTTGTTTGTAGCAGTGGAAGAATTCGGCAGAACCATTGGGAAACTTTTTTCTGATACTTTTCATTTGCTGAAATTTATCCTCTACATGTTTTATGAGAAATATGAAAATATGAAGTTGCATAAGGACACAGCTTTTTTTAAATTTCATTCTTATTTAATTTACTTAAGTCTTACAATATTTTAATTCTCTTATACCCCCCACAGAGAATAGATGAAATCATGAAGAGAACAAGGAAGAGTGATGCATCTCTAGAAGTGAAGGTAGGAATTCAGATAACCATTATGTCATGGGTGGAGAAGAACAACAGAATACATTTAGTGACAATGAAGGTTTGAGACAAATGTCTAGAAAAAGTAGACTTTTCCTGTCCTGTTCAAGGCAAGGATCAGGAAGGAACTGAGACCTTGAAGAAAAGAGAAATTTCAGAGATGAAGAAAGTAAAAGATTCCATCAGAGCAGTGGGCTGGTAATACAAGGAAAGACACAGTAATTTGAAAAGTGACATAATAATTAAGAGAAACATAGAGAATCAAATAATCACTTCCTGCTATGTCCCAGAAGGGTTCTGAATACTCCCTGGTGCATTTTTAAAAAGATGTTTTTCTTTTTTTTTATAATGTCAGTCTTTCAGCTTTTATCATCTTCCTAATTTCTTCCCTGTCATTGACTTTTTTTAAACTTTTCTAATTTAAACTTTCCCTAATTTCTTCACTGTCATTGACTTTTTTAAAACTTTTATTTCCTATTTGTATTTTTTTATTGGATACTTTTTCAATTTTTTTTCTTCCTTCCTCGCTCTTTCCTAGTCATCCATCTTCTGTTTATTTCTAGAAGGAAGACCCCAAAGTGGAGATTGAGCCCATGGCAGATGCGGAAAATAAGAGAAAACCAGTTGTCCCCCAAAAAATAGGTGAGTGTGGGGTCTGGTGTTTGGGTCCTTTGGGTGATGAGGACTAGTGACCCTGCTGTGGCTGTGGGTCAGGGTAGTGCAGCTAGGTCCCAAGGCAGCGGCTGCTAGCAGTTTTGTTTCCGGAGACATCTTTCTAGTATAAGTGCTGTTTATTCCATTTGGGAAACCACTACCTTCCTTGACTGCTTTAATAACTGATGTATATGTACAGAATGATTTCCAGGGACCTTGACTGGATAACAGGTATTACTAAGACCTGGATTATCTCTTAAACTGAGGCCCTGCAAACACTGATAATAAGATCATATTCCCTTCTCCTTTGTGAAGGGGGAGTTAGTGACACTTCTTTCCACAAACAAAACAAAAAGACCATTGTATTACTGGTGAAAGAAAAGATGAAAATAATTGCCTTGTTATATGTTCCCTGCCACTTTATCAAATTTGAAATATGGTTCATCTGAAGACTTTGTGTTCTTGATCAGAAATCGATGGACTGAACATCTGCCAGGAAATAAATAGCTCAGATCATGCTGCTCCAGAAAACTTTCCCCAAGACATTTTCTCTAATGGCCTTAAACCAGTTGGGGCACCTGTTCATCTGGAGGGCCTTGATGGGAAATCAAACAGTCTTGATGATTTAACTGAAGGAGTTCAATCTATGGATGTGAGGTATGTTCATTTATTTTGCATTTAATTTTGGCCTCTTTGCCAGTCACTGGCAATTGCTCCATCTTTTCCAGTCCTTTTCATTTCTTTTAGTTGTTTTTTTTTCACATATGCCTTTTCTTATTTTATCCCTCCACTCATCTTCCCTGTCCATAATGAAATCACCTCGAAATCAGTTTTTGTTGATACAGGAAAGCAGAATGGTTTTGTGGCATATGATTTATAGGAGGACAACTGTGAAGGGAGGGAAGCTACTAAGCAAGGATGTCTTCTCAATCTCCTGGAAGATTTGGAGGCTGGTTTTCCACCAAGGCATCATTTTTATCACTTTATATAGTGATATATAATGATCATTCAGTGTGGGCAAGGCACTGCAGGTGTATGATGCAGGAGTAACTGTGGCCAAAGTGGCTCCTGTCAGTTAAAAGAAATTGTCGAAAGAAAGTCTAGCAGCTGTGAATGTTTGACTAGCTCTCTGAAGCTGGGAAATAGGTTTATCTGAAAGTAAAGGAGGTATAGCCCAACCACAAATGGGGTCTCCTTTATCCACAAACTCTCATATTTGAATAAACTTTTAATTTAATGATGAGAACGGTGGCAGATGGTTGTAATCCAAGAACTCTGGAGGTGAAGACAGGAGAACCAAGAGATCAACAGTAGCCTGGGCTGCATAGCAAGGTTCTGCTACAGAATGATGATGGGGGGAGGAAAGTTTGTTGTTAAAGACTTAAAAGAACTAATTTGTTCTCAGTTAATGAAACCTAAGATATTCTTATGTTTTTGGTTGTGAGCCTAGCCTTTAACGGATGAGCCATCTCTCCAGCCCGAAACCTAAGATATTCTTAAACTGGTATGTTTGCCAATAACATCATGTGGCAGATTAATCTGAGATAAAAAGAGATAATATTCTTGTGATTCAGGTAGAGGTGTTTGAGTAAGGGGTAGCTCTCCAAGTCAGGAGAGTATGGCAGTATTTTATAGAAGTTCTACCGGAACTCCTACCTGTTAAAAGCTTACCATTTTTTTCATCAACCATGAACTCTCTGCTTTATTTGATCAGATATGAGCAGCCTGTAACACACAATGATCATTAATATCCCATTAATCCACATTGGATTTTAACCAAATACATGAAAATCTAACCTCAAACAACCCTATCACCAGCAGAGAAAATCCTGAATAGACTGATAGTGGGCCTCCCCACTTACCCTCAGCTGGATATCCCCACACCCCCAACACCACCTCACAGCCTTCCCCAGACTGATGCCACTCTGCTCCCAAAAGAGGAAAACTGAGACAGTCCTAATGGTTAACACACCCATATGGAGCCAAGTAAGCTTTATGTTTTGGGATTTTCAGATGGTAAAATATGGCACCACTATCCAGGATTCATAAAAGTGAATGGACGTTATACACTGAATTCTCCATTAGAGAGAGGTGTCTAGTGGAGCCACATGTAAGCTTATGGTGGTGTTTTCTTACTCATGCTCTTTATTGTTGTTGATGGTGGTAGCAGTGGGTTTTTGAGACAGTTTTATCTAGCTCAGGCTATTTACCTTACACTGATCTTGAACTTTTAATTCTCCTAAGTAATGATATATGCACGTGCCACCATTCCTAGGTTTTCTCTGTGTTCTTGAGTTGAAATGAGGGGATGATGGGGTAGGGTGTAGGTGGGGCTAGATGTTTCTACTTAATAAGTCAGTTTGCCCAGATACTCAAAGATGTTAGGTCCAGTTACTGTTCCTTAGCTTGGCTCAGGTGTGAGGGAAGTGAATCCTTGGAGCTTTTTATAAATCTACTAGTTTCTCTAGATTCTTCTCTAAGATCTCGTGAAGGAAGAAAAGCCTGGCATCAGTCTTACTCTAGATGTTAAGAATTTTTCTGAAATAGACCCTTAATTCCTAGCTTACTAGTCTTCTGGACCTAAATATGCTCCTTTGCTAGACCTATAGCAGATAGCAGCAGTGAAACCCCTCTCATTCTTAGGGAAAGAAAATAACAGAAACAAACCTCAGCTGGGTACATCTAGATAAATTAGGATGAATTGGAAAGCCAAGTTTTAGAAAAGAGGCAGTGGGTAAGATTGGATCTGTCATTATCATATTCCCATACCCCAACCTTAACTAAGCACAAGCTTTATGTAGCCCTGCATCAACTCTTCTCATCATACTTACACCACATCTCAAAGGAGTGGTTGGGGGAAGAAATAACTCTTCTTTCCATTTTACAGGGGGATGAAACTGAGGCCAGGAACAGGAAAACCAGCTCACCATAGACAGCACTGTTGGAAGGGCAGCACCAGGAGACCCCATTGCTAATTAGGGCCCTTTTCAGCTCTCCTTGAACTTTTGGCCCTTACTTGCTCTTGGAATGTCCCAGACAAAAAGCTCTGGGAGGGCATTGCTTCTCTTCCTTCTCTGTAGTAATGTGGTGGTGCCTGTAGATTTTTTTCCTTTCAGCTCCCACATACTGAGCTCTTTATTTTTCACTGCCCTTCTAGTCTGCTTCCCTTATTCTCATCTACAGGTACCTTGTGTTTACCAGCTTTTCCAGAGAAAACTCACTTGTTTTCTTAACTCATCTTTTCCATGAGAGCAGTGTAGCAAAACCACACAAGAAAAGAGGAAGCACATTAATATATCACGTTTTATTCTCATGTTCTCACTCCTCTCTGTCTCTAATTCTCTGTCTCCCTTATCTCTTCTAGTCCTGTTTCCAAAGAAGAGCTTATCTCCATCCCAGAGTTTTCACCAGTGAGTGAAATGATTCCTGAGATGTCTCTGGACCAAAATGAAACTGGTAATGCCCGGGCACTTCAAGATATTTTAGATTTTACTGGGCCACCTATGTTCCCCAAGAAATCCAGTGAAAATCTCAGCATTGATGACTGTAACAAAAACCTCATCGAAGGATTTAACAGTCCTGGGCAAGAAACTACTCTGAACACCTTCTGTTGACAAAGACAGCATTCCTTTAATGAAAGGTACAGTCTTTTAATGATAGTCTAAATTTGCAATTTCCCAACTGAGATTTGTAAACATTGAATAAATACCACACAGCCTCTTGGACTACCGATTTTATTTGAAAAGTTTAAAATGAGTATTTATTGCAGCACACACACATTGAAGATTCTAAGTAATTTCTCTATAATCTAAGTGAGTCTCTAATGTAGTAAACTACTTTTTGAGAAGCTTTGATGACAAATCTATTTCAGGAAGTATCTTTTTCAGAGATCAGGAATGAGTACTTGGGGTAGTTCTACCAAAGTGAACCTCTGCTCTTAGTTTTTTTTTTTTCAGTGACTTCCCACACTCTACCTATTGCCACTCATACAGACTGAGTGATGAGCCAAATGGTCAGCTCTTCTATTGACCTATTTTGGATTATTCCAAAACACACATCTGTTTTTGGATCATACCTGAGTTGGGAGAGGAAAGAACTTTATTTCTGTGTCCTGAAGGTTTTCCCCCACCACTGAGCTTTTTTGTTTGTTTGTTTACTGAAGAGCTTTTGTTCTCACTGGCATTTTATTTATTTATTTATTTATTTATTTATTTATTTATGTTATATAACCAAGACCATTTAACTGAAAACAAACATTTATAGACAATATTTAGGAATTTGGGCATCTTTCTTTCCAAACTGCTTCCTGCTGGTAAGGGGCGCTGTCATGGGGCATTCTAAGAAGATGCAGAAATCCTGGCTGTAGTCTGCAAGGCTGCTTTGTCCAGCTGTTTTGAATGTACTCTGTTTCAGGCGGTCTGGCTTGATCAAACCACATTAGTCTAGAAGGAATCCACAGATTTTCATTTTTTGTGGAAACAAAAATAGAAATCCTTTTCCCCAGTAACTTGTCCTTGAACTTAAATTTTGGAGTCAAAGCATTTTTTTATTTAATTTATTATTTTACATGTCGATCTCAGTTCCCTCTCACTCCCTCCCTCCCTCCCTCCCTCATTCCCTCCCTTTTACCCTCTCTGCCCTCTCAAATGCACTCTAACCACGCTCCCCTCCCATCCCCCCACCCCAATTCCATATGTAGGGGAATGCCATCCAGTTGGGGTCATGTAGCTCTGACAGGTCATGTGAAATAGGGACTAGGGCTTCTCTCCAATCTCTAGGTTAAGGCAGTTATCCCTCCATGGGGGATGTGTACGCAAAGTCCTTTTGTGCACAAGGGATACATCCAGGCTCCACTGTCTGGGGTCCCTTAGACTTCTCAGTCCTTCTGTCTGAGACCCATATTCAGGGGGGGCTGAGTCAGTCCCATGCTGGCTACCCAGCTATCAGTCTGGTGGCCTGTTAGCTCTTCCTTGTTCTGGTAAGCTGTCTCTATGTGTTTCTGCTGCCTGGTCTTGTTCTCTCCAACTGATTCTGGGTTCTACTTCAACTCTGTGTTTATGTATGGGTGTTTGCTCCTGTTTCCAACAGGCATTAGTTGAGAGCTCCATGGATAAGTTAGTTGTTGATCTCACTCTCCGGGAAGGGCATTTATGGTAGCCTTTCCACGGAAGCTCAAATTGTTAGTTGGCTGCAGTCTTGTAGTTCTCTAGACCTTTGTGTTTAATTTTATCTTCAAACCAATATTGGCTCCCTCTTTTATGTGTTCTCTCTCTCTCTCTCTCTCTCTCTCTCTCTCTCTCTCTCTCTCTCTCTCTATCTCTCTCTCTCTCTCTCTCTCTCTCTCTCTCTCTCTCTCTCCTGTCTTCTATCCTAACCGGGCTCAATCTTCCTGGTCGCACATGTTTTCCTTTCCTCCCCCTCGTTTTCTCCTACTTCTCTCTCCATTCACTGCCCCCCCCCACTTCCCCTGTGCTCTGGGGGACTTTTACCTTCCTGGTTCTGTGAGGGACTTTATATGAATCTCTTAGAATACACCTTGTATCCTAGTTCCTGTGGTGGTGTGAATTATAGGCTTGTGATCCTTGGATTTAGGTCTAAAATCCATATATGAGTGAGTACATACTATGTTCCTCTTTTTTGTGACTGTGTTACCTCATTCAGGATGTTTTCTTCAAGTGCCATCCACTTGCCTGTGAATTTCAAGATACCCTAATTTTTTCTGCAGAGTAGTATTCCATTGTGTAGATATGCCACATCTTCATTAACCATTCTTCAATTGAGGGGCATCTAGTTTGCTTCCAGGTTCTTGCTATTACAAATAGTGCTGCTATGAACATAGTTGAATAGATGTCTTTGTTGCATGGATGTGGATATATGCCTAAGAGGGGGATTGCCAGGTCATGTGGTAAACCAATTCCCATTTTTCTGAGGAACAGCCATACTGATCTCCAAAATGGCTGTATGAGTTTGCACTCCCACCAGCAGTGGAGGAGTGTTCCTCTTTCTCCACATCCTCTCCAACATGAGTCATCATTGGTGTTTCTAATTTTAGCCATTCTGGCAGGAGTAACATGGCATCTCAAAGTTGTTTTGATTTGCATTTCCCTGATAGCTAAGGATGTGGAGCATTTTCTTAAGAGACTTTCAGCCTTTTTGATTTCCTCTATTGAGAATTCTTTCTTCAGTTCTGTACCCCATATTTTAATAGGGTTATTTGGTGTTTTGTTGACTAGTTTCTTGAGTTCTTTGTATATTCTGGGGATCAGCCCTTTGTCGGATATAGGATTGGTGAAAATCTTTTCCCAGTCTGAGGGCTGCACTTTGGTCTTGTCCACTGTGTCCTTTGCCTTACAGAAGCTTCTAAGTTTGAAGAGGTCCAATTTATTAATTGTTTCTTTCAGTGTCTGTGCCCCTGGAGTTATGTTCAGGAAGCGGTCTCCTATACCAATTTGCTCAAAGGGTGCCTCCTACTTTCTCTTCTAAGAGATTCAATGTGGCTGGATTGATGTTGAGGTCTTTGGTCCATTTGGACTTGAGTTTTGTGCATGGCGACAGACATGGGTCTATCTGCAGTCTTCTACACCCTCATCCAATTGTGCCAGCTCCATTTGTTGAAGATGCTGTCTTTGCCCCATTGTATAATTTTAGCTGTTTTGTCGAAAATCAGGTGTTCATAGGTGTGTGGGTTAATATCAGGATTTTCAATTCAATTCCATTGGTCTACCTGTCTATTTTTATGCCAATACCAGGTTGTTTTCAGAACTGTAGCTCTGTAGTAGAGCTTAAAGTCAGGAATGGTGATGCCTCCTGAAGTTCTATTATTGTATAGGGTTGTTTTGGCTATCCTGGGTCTTTTTTTCCATATAAAGTTGATTATTATCCTTTCAAGGTCAGAGAAGAATTGTGGTGGGATTTTAATGGGGATTGCATTGAATTTGTAGATTGCTTTTGGCAAGATTGCCATTTTTACTATGTTTATCATACCTATCCAAGAGCATGGGAGAGCTTTCCATTTTCTGGTATCTTCTTTAATTTCTTTCTTTAGAGCCACAAAGTTCTTATTATATAGGTTTTTTACTTGTTTGGTAAGCATTACCCCAATATACTGTGTGTTGTTTGTGGCTGTTGTAATGGGTGATGTTTCTTTGATTTCTTTCTCAGCCCCTTTGTCATCTGTATATAGTAGGGCTACTGATTTTTTTTTTTTGAGTTTATATTGTATCCTGCTAGTTTGTTGAAGTTGTTTATCAGCTGTAGGAGGTCGCTGGTAGAGTTTTTGGGTCGCTTATGTAAATTGTCATACCATCTGCAAGTAGTGACAGTTTGAATTCTTCCTTTCCAATTTGTATCCCCAAGATCTCCTTTTGTTGTCCTATTGCTTTAGCTAGAACTTCAAGTACAATATTGAAGAGATATGGAGAGAGAGGGCAGCCTTGTCTTGTTCCTGATTTTAGAGGAATTGCCTTAAGCTTCTCTCCATTCAGTTTGATGTTGGCTGTTGGTTTCCTGAATATTGCTTTTATTATGTTTAGGTATGTTCCTGTTATCCCTGATCTCTCCAAGACCTTTATCATGAAAGGGTGTTGAATTTTGTCAAAGGCTTTTTCAGCACCTAATGAGATGATCATGTGGTTTTTCTTTTTCAGTTTGTTTATATGGTGGATCACATTGATAGATTTTCGTATGTTGAACCATCCCTGCAACCCATTGATGAAGCCTACTTGGTCATAGTGGATGGTTTCTCCGATGTGTTCTTGGATTCGATTTGCCAGTATTTTATTGAGTATTTTTGTGTCGATGTTCATAAGGGATATTGGTCTGTAGTTTTCTTTCTTAGTTGTGTTTTTGTGTGGCTTGTTTACCCAGGAAATTGTGGCCTCATAAAAAGAGTTTTGTAATGAACTTTCTGCTTCTATTGTGTGGAACAATTTGAGGAGTATAGATATTATTAGCTCTTCCTTGAATTTCTGGTAGAATTTTGCACTTTTTTTTTTTTTTTTGGTTGGGAGGCTTTTGATTACTACTTATATTTCATTAGGGGTTATAGGTCTATTTAAGTCGCTTATCAGTTCTTGTTTTAATTTTGGTAAGTGATAGGTATCCAGAAATTTGCCCATTTCCTTTGAATTTTCAAATTTTGTGGAGTACAGGTTTTCAAAGTATGACTTGAAAATTGTCTGGATTCCTCAGTGTCCGTTGTTATGCCCCCTTTTCATTTCTGATTTTGTTAATTTGCATATTCTCTCTCTGCTTTATGGTTAGTTTGGATAAAGGTTTGTCTATCTTGTTGATTTTCTCAAAAAAACCCAACTCTTTGTTGCATTGATTTTTTTTTTTTGCATTGTTTTCCTGGTTTATACTTTATTGATTTCAGCTCTCAAATTGATTTTTTTCCTGGTGTCTACTCCTCTGGAGTGATTTTGCTTCTTTTTCTTCTAAGGATTTCAGTTGTGATATTAATACAAGGGACTATTCCAATTTTTTTTTGTATCTGTTGAGATTTGTTGCAGAGTATGTGGTCCATTTTAGAGAAGGTTCTATGTGGAGTAGAGAAGAAGGTATGTTCTTTAGTGTTTGAGTGAAATGTGCTATAGATGTCTGTTAAACCCAACTGAGACATAACTTCTGTTAGTTCTTTTGTTTCTTTGTTAAGTTTCTGTCTGTTGGTCCTGTCTAGCAGTAAGAGTGGGGTGTTGAAGTCTCCCACTATGAGTGTGTGAGGTTGTATGTGAGCTTTGTGTTTTAGTAGTATTTGTTTTATGAATGTGTGTGCCTTTGTATTTTGGGCATAGATGTTCAGAATGGAGATTTGGGGCATAGATGTTCAGAATGATGGATTTCCCTTGTGATGAATACGAAATGACCGTCTTCATCTCTTTTGATTGATTTTGGTTTGAAGTCTAACTTGTTAGATATTAGGATAGCTACACCTGCTTGCTTCTTGGTTCCATTTGATTGGAAAATCTTTTCCCAACCCTTTACCCTGAGGTAATGTCTATCTTTGAAGTTTAGATGTGTTTCTGTCTTCGTATCCATTCTGTTAGCCTGTGTCTTTTTATATGTGAGTTAAGACCATTAATGTTGAGGGTGAGTAAGGACCATTGATTGTTGATGCTTGTTTGATTTAGGTTTGTTGTTGGCAGTGGTATTGTTGAATATATTAGTTCTGCTTTACCCTTGGTTTCTGGTGTAGTTGGATTATCTATTGCCTACATTTTTATGGGCATAGCTACCTTCCTTGGGTTGGAGTTTTCATTCCAATTCTTTCTGTAGGGCTGGATTTGTAGAAACATATTGGGAAAATCTGGTTTTGTCATTAAGAGAACTGGCTGCACTTCCAGAGGTCATGAGTTCAATCCCCAGCAACTACATCATGGTTCACAAACATCTATAATGAGATCTGGTGCCCTCTTCTGTCTGTAGGCATACATGTAGACAGAACAGTATATATAATAAATACATAAACATTTTATAAATATGTTAGGTTCTCAGAATTCTATCACTTTATTTTTTGTGGTGCTGAATTCTAACAGAAATTTGATACCTAGACTTGTTAGTCTAATTTTATTAAATAAAATACAGTAATAGAGCAGGAAGGCCACAAAGTTATATTTTGTGTACTTATTTCCACCTGATCTCAGTTCTTGCCTATAGAGTCTATAGCATAGACAGTGAGCTCTAGAACCTCCTTCAGTCAGTTCTCAGCAAAGTCCCTGGAGCCCTTTGACACAGGAGAGGGAATACATGACAAGCCACTTTTAATATTTTGAGAGAGGGTCTCACATAGACTAGACTGAACTCACTATGTAGACTAGAATGATCTTGAACTTCTGAAAGAGTGGCTGCTTTCTTGAACACTGAAAACATGAATTTGCCTGAGAATTCTGTCTCCTTGACAGTTTCATGGCTTAATATTCATTAAAAGGTTCCTTTTGTTGTTAGTATACCTTGATTTAATTAACTTCCATCCAATTCACTTAGTTTACTATCCAACAAATGCATTATGTACAGCAAGTTCAAGGCTTCTACTATTTTTCCCACATCCTAGCTAAAAGTAATGTCCTAAAAGAAGAGAAAAACAATCTTGACTGAATTACTTCATTCACTTTGCTTATGTATTATAATGAGCTTTAGACTAGTTCCCAAATTATTCTAAACCAAAGGTGGCTTATTGCCACAGTACTTGAGACATTAAACACCTTAAGGTTTGGATTTAAGGATAATCTTGATGGCTTGGGGTGTATACCATTCTTTCCTACCTCACCCTTCCTGAAACTGTGCACTAGCCCTACTTCCTCAGTTAAGAACTATTCTTCACTCAAGGGCAGATAATCTCAAAACATCTCCCATATGAGGAACATTTGATCTGTACTAAAAGAATGATTCTGTAAAAAATGCTGCTCTATTTCTTTTGAGAAATACTGAATTAGCCAAGGAAGAGTGAAAAATACTTGGTTTCTGTGTTAATGTTAACTGGTTCTTCCTTTTTGAATTGTCACAGGTGGTGTTTGGATTACCCATGAAGCTGTTGGTGTTAAATCTGAGCTGCTAGCCACCTGAAGAAGCTTCTTTCGCCCTTAACCGCTGGATTCCAAATTACTACATCAGAATGTAACTGTATTCCTAGGTAGTTTGGCAAACACTGGCCTCTCTTGGTAGAAACCTTGAGATTTTTGCCTTGTTGGGCTTTAGCAAAGTTTCATTTTATGGTTCTATTTATGAGCTTCAGCTGCTGCTAAAGCACTTCCTTGTCCTTCTCTAATATCATACCCTTTGTGACGCTGGCTGGGAACTTCACTTTAGGACACTTGCATTCCCAGAGTTGTATCACATAAACATTTAGATGTCTCTTCCTATAAAAATGTTCTATTTATCCACACTCTAGTTAAACATGTACTCAATCTGAGCTGCTAATATCCCTGTGTTTTTTGTGTGGGAGAAATCTAACCATTTTCTCTCCCTCTCAGGTTTCTGTTAGTTTATTTTTATTATTAAGCTTCATCACCTGCAGAACATTATCCCACATTACTTGTTTGGGCATTAAAGAAATAGTTTCATTGAGTAAATAATTAAATAGTGGCAATTATTTCTTTCCCTGATGCATATTCTCCATATGCATACATGGGCAACGGAATCTAGCAAGGACCCTTTCATGTTATACATTTACAATTTCCAAATTGTCATTTCAAAACCATTGAATGACTTTTCAGCTGAATAGTCAAGTCTCCTGCAGGTGGTTGTTCTCATGGTATTGCTATTTTTCTATTGGATCTTGGAAGTTTCTTTTTGTTTTGTCCTATGTTTGCTTAACTGTACTAAAAGATTCACAGTGCTTTGAAAGGGGGCCCCAAGTTGGTCCCAGTATGTCACTTTAATAGACTTTAACATTTAAAAGTCTAAATGAGGAAAAAAATGACACTAGAATGTATAACTCCATAGATTTTATGCCATATAATGCTATATTTAAAATTTTCATTTCTTGTGGTGAAATGTAGCTTTACTATTAAATGACCTTTTCTTTGGACATTTTTGTTTTGACTTGTACCTTAAACCTTTTGAAAAAATGCTTAATTTTTAGATTTACAGCCAGGAGATATAAACAAATCTCAATAGTGATCTTGTTCTGTACTTTTAAAGCTGATACAGTTTAAGAATGAATTGTCTCAAAAGCTATGTATGTTTATGTGATATAGTCTAAATAAAATGCATACCTCTAAATATATTGTGCCATTGACATTGATGACTGTCAAAGGAGATATATCTTTTATAACAAGCACACAGATGATAGCATGGTCTGACATCCAAAAAATAGCTGACCATTTTTTTAAAGCTTATTTTGCTAAGTGTCTGTTTCATTGAGCGCCATTGTACCTCCCAGCACCATTGAGATCACCTGATGCCTCATTTGCATGATGTGTACATTCTGTTTAATGTTAAATACATTTTCATTGAAGAGTCTGATGACTTGATGGTGTTTTGTTTCTGTACACTCAGTAAAGAAACTCACTGAAGGAGCCAGGATGTATCCCTGGTGCACAAAAGGACTTTGCGAACACATTCCCCCATGGAGGGATAACTGCCTTAACCTAGAGACAGGAGAGAAGCCCTAGTCCCTACTTCACATGACCTGTCAGATCTACATGACCCCAACTGGATGGCATTGCCCTACATATGGGATTGGGGTGGAGGAATGGGAGGGGATTGTAGTTAGGGTGCATGTGGGAGGGCAGAGAGGGTAAAAGTGAGGAAGGGAAGGAGGGAGGGAGGGAGGGGGAACTGGGATGGACATGTAAAATAATAAATTAAAAATAAATTAAAATAAATAAATAAATGCTTTGACTCCAAAATTTAAGTTCAAGGACAAGTTACTGGGGAAAAGGATTTCCATTTTTGTTTCCACAGAAAATGAAAAGCTGTGGATTCCTTCCAGACTAATATGGTTTGATCAAGCCAGACTGCCTGAAACAGAGTACCAGGTGATCCTACATTCAAAACAGCTGGACAAAACAGCCTTACAGACTACAGCCAGGATTTCTGCATCTTCTTAGAATCCCCCATGACAGTGCCCCTTACCAGCAGGAAGTAGTTTGGAAAGAACGATGCCCAAATTCCCAAATATTGTCTATAAATGTTTGTTTTCATTTAAATGGATTTGGTTATAAAAAATAAATAAATAAAATATTAAATTTAAAAAAAAGAAACTCACTGAAACCAACTCAGATTTTTAAAACCTGAAACCAGGTAGAGAATAAAAGGCCAATTGACTTCTGGGTAGGCATTCTTTCTCTATCAAATTCACCAAATTCACTAAAAATTTCTCAGTTGTTAGTGCCAAGTGGAGCCAGTTGTGGTTTCAGTGGTGGCCTGTCCCTAGAATATGATGAATATCACAGAATGGTTAGGTTGCTGTGCTTTCATACAAGCAATGATGCAAGCAGTTGTTCGCTAAGTGAAGAAATAGCTAATTGTAGTATAATTGATGAGACTTTGACATAGCAGTTTGGCATTCAGATGATTGCAATGGTTCTTACATTCAAGGATATGGAAACCCAGACCTGAACTTTTTGTACTTGGGGTGTGAGTTTTCCTGGGGAGACATGAACAAGTGACAATGACAGAGAATCAAGTCTGGCTTGATGAACCAAAGATTTGATTGGGGTTCCTTCAGGTGTATGGATGAGAGGTTATTTACAGGTACCCAGATGGATGAAAGGTAAGTGTATCACATAAAAAACAACTACCCCAGCATGGTGATGATTCTCAAAAGGGCAATCCCTGGAGTTTTAGAATGTTCTTACAAGTCACTTGCAGACAACTTAGCCATCAGGAGACTGCACGCACCAGCAATTATTTACTGTTTGTACAACTTTGTGAATTTTGTAAGTTTCAGGAGTTGTTTACTTTTGTTTACATCATCCAGCTTATAAGTCTCCTCCCCTTGAGGGGAAGCTCTGCTATGAGGCTGGCAGTGGTGACCAGTCATTCCCAAGAATAGTTGTTAGTTTGTGAATATTCTACTTGTTTTCATGGTGCTTGTACAGGTTCCTATTAAATGATTTTAGAGATCAAATCTAGAAATAACACAAAACAAGTTCATTTTTAAGTATATACACTATATTTTTGGCAGAGCACAAGGCAACTCCAATATTCAGCATTGTTCAGGAGTCCTGATCACGAAAGGAAGTGAGAATTTTTTAGAAATAGTAGAAACAAGACGCTTTTGCTATACACTTTCACCCAAGAACCTTGGAAGGAACAACTGAAAATAATAATTTCACAGAAGGGCAATGATCAAGAAAAATTCAATAGTTTGGTTTTTATGTGTTAGAATTTTTAAAGATCCCTATAAATCCTGTAAAATTCCTAGAACTTATTTGGAGTTCTAGCAGAGAAGATGGTCTATATCCTGCTTTATACTTGTCCTCTATTAGAGGAAGTCATTATCTTCAGTCATCCAAGCATGAAG